TTCCAAACAACATAATATTTATAAGTTCTAGGAGTTAGGATCTGATGATACCTTTGGGGATCATTATCAGACTACACTAGATATGAGAATTTACATTTCTAATACATTTCTAGGTCATACTAATGCTACTGGTCCAGGGAATACACTTTGAAAACCAGTGAGCTAGTGACTTCCTGCTAATACTTCAAAATTTGGCATAGAAGCTGTGAGTCCTTTCTTTCAACCTCCAGGTGGGTTTGGCCACCTCTGATTTTGTGTCTTTTCTCTGCCTTGAACTTTCCCTCTATCTTCTTCAACTGTCACAAAGTATGACATTTTTTGTTTGCAATTTTGACTCATTTAATGCCCTGAAATCTTTGTCTTATTTTTATATCTCTATTACTTAGTTTAAAATATGGTAGGTGTTCAGTAAATTCTCAGTACTTGGAATTGAAAGGCCAAAAGAGCAAGGAGATATTCCTAATTCTATTCAGAACTAAGTCAATGTGAAAACTGTCACCAAGTGAGCCATGCCAGCTTGCACTCTGATATCCCATTATTCTTTCAACATTGTTCAGGAATTAACAGTATTTCACCATTTCATTTTCATTGAGTTGAGATCACAGAAAAATGACTGAGGGGCTCCAAAACTGGGCTTTGTGGGTGATTATTATTCCAACTATAATAGCTATTCTCATATTTCTCTTATAAGAAGAATCTGCTCCAGGTGAAATTGTGAAGAAGGCCCGGTATGCAGTAATAAGTGTTGTTTGTCATGCTTCTCCCTCCACAAGCATCTTTTATTCCATCTCTCAAGTTGGTCTCTTGTTTCATGCTCCTTGCTATGTCATGAAACTCCTGAAAGCAGAGGCAGACTGTATTCATCTCTGTATTCCTATGGTACCTGGCACAGTATCTGGTACACAGGAGGGGTCCAGCTAAGATTTTTCAGAATTAAAATATATCTGTATGCAATTCAGCTAGAGATTCGCTCTTCCATCTTTGTAGCTGGCATCATTAGTGTCTCAAATGCTAAAAATCTCATTCCCAGCAGCTTCCTGCTAGGATAGACTGGAGAATGGGAGCTGTCCAGGGGAGAGTTTTCTCTTGCCCTTCAACCTCTCACACTTGAAAGCCTTCCCCCTCACCTAGATTGCACAAAGCCAAAGCTTAGCCACAGTTCTTGATTAATTGGCAAGGTTCTCTCTCTTGAAAATATTTGCCTAATTCCCTCAATCAGATACATCTTTCTTTTCCAATCCTTTCCAGTCCCCTAGGGCACTCTATGTTTACCACACATGTGACTCTTCATTCATTCTATAACCATGTCCATGTACATATACATAAAGCCACAGACCTAGCATACTGAACTGGAATTTATAGACTCATTTAAGTCTCCCCCAAAGCCCATGACAAAGTGGTTAATATGAATCCTCAATACTGAGCAACTATTGATTTTAAGATGCACCATAGGTTGTATGTAGCCTTTCAGCAAAAACATGAGAAAGTAATGAAAAGATAAAGAGAACAAAAGTCACTATGTTACAATAAGGAGCATGATAACTAACGTTTCTAAAGAGTTCACCACATAGCAAACTCACCGCTTTACATGTAATATATCACTTAATCTTCATCACTCCATATATGCTATGAGATTTTTATTTCCATTATTCTCAAGGAGAAAACACAGCTCCAGAAAAGCTCCTGCAGTAAGCAAGTGATGGAGCTAAGATTTGCACTCAGGCAATTTGCTTGAGTTCCATAGCCTATGCCCTTGGACAATAAACTTTATGTTTAATCAAAATATAGAATACACAGAGAAAAGTGTGAAGCTCAGTGAATTTTCACAGAGTTAAAACACTCATGTAACCACCAGCCATAACAATCAATCAAACATTATCAGCATCACATAAGCCCACTCATAGTTCCCCATGTCACCACCCTCTCCATCGCCCAGAAGTAATCTCTATCCTTTCTTCTAACATCATAAATTAGTTTTCTACTAATTAGTAAAACTAGTTTTTTTGTTTTTATATAAACATATTAATATTATTTTGTGTTTGGTTTCCAAAATTCTGTATTATATTTGTTAGATTCATCCAAGGTGCTATGTATGGTTACTGTGTTATTTCATATTCATTCTTAAAGATATTCTATTGTGTTATTATTCCATAATTTATTTATCTAATTTTTCGCTGATGAGTATTTGTATTTTTTTTTCTAGCTTTCTAGCAGTACAAATGAGTGCTTCTATTCGTATTTTTGTAAGTCCTACTTGTGGTACACATTTCCATATTTCTGTTATACATACCCTTATGGGTGAAGCTGATGGGCTATAGGAGATATAGGAGATATATACCTCCAACTTTAGTAGATACCACTCCACAGGTTTACATAGTGGTCATACTTATTTATATTCTCACTATAAAAATATGAAAGCCACAGTTGTTCCATATCCTTCCTAACATTTGTTATCATTAGTTATTTTAAATGTAGCTGCCTTGGTAAGTCACAGTCTGTACATTTAACTACTAAGTTGTTCTGCCTACTGTAGTGTGAGATCTCATAATTGTCCAAGAATTTATCACAGATTAAAAATCAAAGAATCAACTTGCAATGCACGTTCAAGCTTTCCTTTCCAATCCTACTGTAATGCTTACCTTCCGTTTTCCTTTAACTCTGCTTTTCCGCATAGTCTTTCCTCTAATCTCTCTGTTGTGATTCCAGGGCAGTATTATTGGCTATCTATAATTATGATCTATTATTTATTAAATTTCTAACATATCATCTGACTGGAACTTGTTAATTCTCTAAACGCCCATGATACGCTTGCCTGGGCAATGTCATGTCAAACAAGGTTTATTAGTGCAGCTTGGAAAACTGAATCTACCTAGTGCAGATTCTCTCAAATGGTGATGATTGCAATCTTTTATCCCCTATTGCAGATCAGGGATTGAAATGTGGCTTCATCTCTTACAGTGAAGGCATTACCTCTATGCCTCAGGTTTGTTTATTTATTTTGGAATCTGAAAAATGAGCACCACCTCATGGAACTGATGTAAGAATGTGATAATACTATTGAAGTACTCGGCACTTAGAAAATGATCAATGGATATGAACTATGATTATTATTATTACCTTCTGTGAGGAAGGCACTGTTATTATCCCCATTTTGCAGACAAATAAACGAAAACATAGAGAATTAAACTTGGCCACCGTGATGACACAGTTCACACTTGGTAGAGATGGAATTCTAAAGCAGCCCTATCCAACTCCAGAGTATGCGTTCCCATCAGCCAGCCTGAGAGCTGTATCATCTGAATCTCCACTGAAATCATGGATGCAATGTCAACAGGACAGAACTCTGAGGAAAGCTAGTCAAGACTTTCTTTTCAGCTGATTTCTAACAAAGTAACTGTGTCTCTTTAAGAATAGTCTTTTAAACCAGATGGTCCTTGCTTTATCTTTAAAATATGTAATGCAGAGAAACCTTAGCACATGCTTTACTAAAACCTCATATACTTTAATTCTATCAAAGATGAAAACAATGGTAAATATCAATGAATCAGTAGGTGAATGTGTATGTGAAGCTATTTTAGTTCCTAGTAATCGCTATTTCATACCCTAAGTGCCATCTCTTTATAAACCTATTCTTTTTAAAACATCCTCTTTTGGGAAATGCTAATAGCCTAAAAAAGCATGATAAGTTCATCCCTCCCAGTGAAAGCTGACAAGGTGAGAGTAAAAACATTGTAAAGTAAGAGAGTTGGGTTCTAGGAGCTTTCTGTCAAGATGCCATAGAAATACTGATAGCATCGTGATTTAGAATGACCCAAGGCAACTATGGAGCTGTTGAAAAACAGTCACTGGTAGTTAGGGGGGCCATGATATAGTTCTAGTTCACGAGCCAATAAGCTGTGTACAAGTCAGTCTTAGAAGTAAAACTACTCTATTCTTGGTAACATCAGAATTTCTAGAATGCTTCCCCTAATCAAATTGAGAGAAATAAGCCCTCCACTAGAAAGCTCCGGAACAGTGCTAAGATCAGATCTAAGACCACAGACTTAATTAAATCAATAAACATTTAATAGATGTCCAATATGTACTAGGGGCTAGGGATTAAAAAGCTAAATAAGTTATTTTCCTTGACCTTGAGAAGTACACCATAATGGGGCAGAATGATATGTAAGCATCTAATTAGTACGCAGTAGAGTAAGTCTATAATGAAGTTAGCTACAAGCTGCAGGATAATGTAAAGTGAAATGTAGTCTCCATGCTTTTATAAGTTAAGAATAAAAGATTTAGCCTGGACCTTTTTTTTTTTTTTTTTTTTTTTTTTGAGATGGAATCTCACTCTGTTCCCCAGGCTGGAGTGCAGTGGCTCGATCTCAGCTCACTGCAACCTCCGCCTCCCGGGTTCAAGCGATTTTCCAGCCTCATCCTCCCAAGTAGCTGGGATTATAGGCACGCACCATCACATCAGGCTAATTTTTGTATTAATAGTAGAGACCAGGTTTCACCAAGTTGGACAGGCTGGTCTAGAACTCCTGACCTCAGGTGATCCACCTGCGTCGGCCTCCCAAAGTGCTGAGATTACAGGTGTGAGCCACCACGCCTGGCCTTTAGCCTGAACATTTAAAATTCATAAATTAGCCCAAAGTACATCCCATGGACTACAACAGAAAGCATCCCATTTTCTAAACTGTTGCCTTTGTGACTCTCCAACATACTGTTAAGTAAAGATAAGATCATTAATGATCCTGTGATGAGCTAGATAATGCATCAGCCTCTCTTATATTTAATATAAATCTAAAAGGAAAGCAATAGTGTTGAAACGTAAGGCATTGAGACACAGTGATGGAGGTCACATCTAAGAGTTCAGGAGCACGGAATATTTGAGAGTGTTCTTTATGTCAACTAAACAGCAAGAACACTCCTTAGGAGTTCCTGTGGTACTCCAACAGGGGGACTTCCAAGGTTTTAAGAAGTACTTGTGCAGAGAACTGGAGACGATTCCCTACCTGACGTCTGCAGGGTCTTCCGTGACGAGCACATCAGTCTTGCAGCTGGCCAGGGGGTTGATGGACAGCTCCACCGGCGGAACCACAAAGCTTTTGCTGACAGGAAGCCAGAGGCCTTGGCCCAAGCTGAAAGTAGACCTGCAATGTAAGAGTTTCCATTGGGGAACTCCCTGGGAAGCAGAGAGCAAACAGACAAAAGGGGCCCCTGTTCCCATCCCTTCTAGGGCAATTTCCTAATTCTCCACCCATGTCCCCTGCATTATTTAAGGAATGATGTCGGCCAACTTTCTCCAGAACTGGATGATCATTTCTCAAATCTGTTAAACATTTAGCTCATGAATTGCTTTGTGTTACTAAGTTCCTTTTCCTGATTTACTAGTGGACTCCGTGAGGATAGGGACCATTGCCGCTCTGATTTTCCAGCAGTCCTGACATACAGCAGGAGTTCCACAAGCGACTGCTATGTCAGCAGGGACAGTCTGGCACAAAGGTTAAGAGCACGGACTTTGAATCAGTTTGAACTAAAATCTGATTTCCAGTTCTGCCACTTAATTTGCTGTATGTCTTTATCTACATGTGTATTGAAGTTTTACACAAGATTTTGTGGAGGTGGTGGGAAGAGGTTCTATGGTTACAGAGTATTTTTAAACCACTGGACTTAATAATCAGTAATGTCTCCTCCAGTTCAAGTATCTGAGTCTATAAGTCTAGCTGCCAGACAAATGGGAATTAGATTCCCATAGCAACCTGGGCCATGATGGTACATTAGTGCCAGGGAGGGTTGTTTTGTACTCAGTGCAGCTCAGAAGAGCACAGGCTCAATAGTCTAAGGATGCATGACCACATCTTCCTATCAGTCCTTTCTCCATTTCCCAGAATTATGCCCAAACAAGAAAGCCAACTCACCTGAGAATCTTTTCAGGGGCTTGCTCCCCTGTCACCAGATCATAGCCCCTCTCAAGTGTCGTGTAGGGCCAAGGTCTATGGGAAGAAGGAGAGGGGAGAGGAGATGACATTAGTCAGAGGCAGGTAGGATTCGCGCGTGGCCACTGCTCTAGAGCAGCTTTACAAACAACCACATTCTGCAGAAGTAATTATTGGGCAAGACTATTTATATTATAAAAGAATGTCTCCAATTTACAGAAGGATTCAGCACTTTCATAAAGTGTACATGTCCATTCAGGAGTCTGTTTGAAAATGTTATTCTTTTTCTTTGTCAGTCCACTTAAGAAAGTGTTCACTGACTACTTTGTTTGCGTGGGTGACTTAAATGTCAGCCTTTGTTCTCTAGAATATTCATCAATCATGTACCTTTAATACTAAAATGTGATTCCATGGGTTTTGCAGGAACACTACTTCCCATTGGGTTTTGCAGGAACATTACTGCTGCAGAGAAAGAGTCTTCTTTGTGGAGATGCCTGGGGCCTCTGGTAACACAACAGAGGAGGTAAAACTTGGTCCTGCACTGTCCTGGACCTAAAGCCCTTTGTCACTCACCCTTCACTCTGTCCCCAGTCACTGCGCACACACAGGTGTCTGTGAACAGGGTCAGGGGCATAGCCTTCATAGCAGCTGCACTCTCCTGTAAGTGAAAAGAAAAACAATTATTGTGAAGTAGAGTCTCCCCAAATAGGCTTTTCTCCGGTTTGCCTGTTTTCCTAAGACTTATATGAAGTGAGCTGCTTAGTTTTAGAAAAGGCACATGGAAAGAGGGCAATCTGGTCCATTGACCACTGTGGTTAACAGAGTTTACTCCTTTGTTCATTCACTCATTTATTCCTTCAACAAGTCCTGGTCACACTTGGACAGGCGCTCAGCTCAGCAGTGGAGATACAGAGGTCAAAGTTGTAATCCAGCCGCTGAAGGAGCTCACAACTTAAGACAGGGAAACAGGAAGTGATCAGGTGGCTACAAATGGAGGTCGTCCTTTCAAATATTAAAATTACGATAAAGTGCATTTACTCTAGAGGCATAATCAGAAAACTGAGTTATCTCCATCTGAATGAAGAGGTCTTCACTTTCCATAAATCCCAAACTAAATGCCACCATCTCCAAGAAACCTTTGATTTCTCCCTTCAGAAAAATCCTGTCTGTAGTCTCCTGGTTTTATTTTGGGTTGTTTTTCATTTTAAAATTGTTTTTCCCCTCCTCCCCTTCCCTCTGCTGCCATCTCTTCTCTTGTCCTCTTTTCTCCTCTCCCTCTCTCTTGCCATTCTTTTTCATTTCCTTCCCTTCCATCCATTCGTTCATGAATCCATCCATCCATCCATTATTTTTTTTCAGGCCATGGCTTATGCTTGGTTGCATGAATGCTTGCTAGCATTACACACTACCTTAAGTACATTCTCTCATTGGCCAAGTTCATTTCAAGTGGCCAGCATATGTCCCATTTCCTAGCATATCTTCGGAGTCCAGAATCCTAGAAGTGATTTCAGAATCTCTCTGTCCTACTCCCAGCTGTTGTCATTTATTCTCTACTGTATACTTAAGGTATAGAATTTCTTTTTCTCTTTTTTTGAGACTGAGAGTCTCACTCCATCGCCCAGACTGGAGTGCAGTGGCATGATCTTAGCTCACTGAAACCTCCTCCTCCCAGGTTCAAGTGATTCTCCTGTCTCAGCTTCCCAAGTAACTGGGATTACAGGCATGAATCACCATGCCCAGCTAATTTTTGTATTTTAGGTAGAGATGGGGTTTCATCATGTTAGCCAGGCTAGTCTCGAACTCCTGAACTCAAGTGATCTGCCCACCTCAGCCTCCCAAAGTGCTGGGATTATAGGTGTGAGCCACCGTGCCTAGCCTAGAAACATTTTTTGATTTAATGAGTTACTGCTTTTTTCTCTAAGGTGTATTTGTGGGATGCTTAAAGATGGTTTACCAAAAATAGATTCTATTTAAAACTGTGTTTGAGTAATACTACCCCATTCCTTAAAGCCAGTGTAGTGTGATTCTCCATCAGGGTGATACATACACGATTTTCACCAACTTATTTTCCTTTGGAAGCCTTGTTGGTGGAATGACTCACAGGATTATAATTCTATGGAAAACCTCTTGGGAAATGCTGGTAGGAACCGCCCTGGTTTTGCCTACTGCCTAGAATAGGGTTGGTGCTTAACAATATGAGTTGAATGAATAATCAACTATCTGTTATGGCTCTGGTAAACTTCCAGGCTAATGAGGTTGCCTTGTCTTCTTTCTCATCTTCTTGTAATCACATTTTCTCTCTCTCTCTGTATGTCTCTCTCTCACAGACACACACACACACACACACAGATAAACCTGTCACCCTTGGATCCTACAGTGATCCTGATAGATAGGACCCAAAAGTTTTCAAATCATGTCCATGGAAATGTATTACTTCACAGAGATTTTGGGACTATGCAAATTTTATGTTTTACTTTTTCTTAAAGGTTTTATTTTTAAATTTTTAAAAATACAAAAACAAGAATAAACACTCAGATATCACATGCCAGAATTTAGGATACTGAAGAAAGTATCAGTTGCCAGATAAACTTATTTTATCCAGGCTTCAGGGGAAAAAAAAATAATCTCCTGTCATCTTTGTTTCATCTAAAAGGACACTGAGGATGAGTCAAGGTGCCAACAAGCTCATGCTATTTGCAACTACATATTTTGTGAATCAGGATTTTCTCAACTTTATACAACTAAAACACAACATTGTAGTAAATAGAATACTAGGGTAACATGGGTTCTACAACTATCACCCTTAACTCTGGATTTTGAAATGTATGTATTCATCAAGTAAAATTACTGTTCTCTCTGAAGAACTGTAAATGTTATATATTTGACCTTCTATGAAGCATTCTGAGTGTTTAAAAACACTGTAACTTGTTTTATAGATGACACTGCTGCTTAATCTTTGTATTCCCAGCACCTATTGACAAATAGCTTGCACTTCATGAATGCTGCCTGAACAAAAAATGGTAGTAAGAGTATGGAGTGAAGAATGGGTCAGAGATAGTATTCAAAATATGCAGAATGAGGTTGTTGAAAGACACAAGGAGAGTCAGAAGACAGGTCCTTTTCCTCTTATCTGCTTACCTGGAAAATAAGGAGGGTTTGCTCACAGGTAAAAATGGTTTCTGTACTCCTCCCCTGCAACGTCACGCCTAGGGTCTTCCACCAAGTGGAAGTGCTGTAAGTATTGCTGCCTAATGAACTGATTGTTGCCAGAGGCAAGGGGAATGGAAGGAAAAGGCTAAGAGCCTTGAATGTGGACAAAAATAATTTACCAAAGGGGGGAGGGGCAGGAGTCACTAATGATGTGTTAAAATGCAACAGTCCCTTCATGAAATATTCACCACTTTAAACACGTCTAATATTAAAGATTAAAAGTCCTGGGATTTGTCCTCGAGACTCCCTGGACTGATTTATGATCTGCCACAAGCCACAGGCCTCATGATTCATAATGGCAGAGGTAAAATGGTTACCTCTGGCAAAGGAGTAGGAAGTCAGGCTGGGGTGGGCGAGGAGGGGCCAGCAAGGAGGATCCCTCTTCTTTATGGAAAGGGCAAAGGCTGAGGTCCCTGTCTCTCCTGCAGTGACCTGCAGGAGATAGCACAGTTCACTTCTTTCCTCTTTCTCTCGGTTTTGGAAATACTGGTGAGATTGAGAAATTTATTCAGAAAAAGGGTGCTGCTATGTTTTTCTTTCCTCCTTGTGTGCTTACTAGGCAAGTTTTCCCTGACTCACAATGGATCATTAGTTACTGATGCTCATTATACAACAAATACATATTTTGCAATTAAGAGGCATTCACCCTGGAGACCCCCATGAGGCTGCCTGGAGAACAGAAAGTAGGCAGACGGAAAAGCCCCTGAGTGCTAGCAGCTGGTGGACACGGTCCCATCCTCTTGCTCTCTCCCTAGTTGTGTGGCCTTAGTCACCTTTTTGGTTTCAGCTTTCTCATTTACAGAATAGGGATGATAGCAATGTCCATTTCCTAGAGCTGATGTAAGAACAAATTGAAATAGTAAAGAATAAAGCTAGTGGCTCAGGTGACAACTAGTCGATGGTGAAGAAGTGAGTTTCTGGGTACTATGCACACTACATGGGTGCAACATATGAACGTAACAAACCCGTAAATGTACCCCCTATATAAATAAAAGTTGAATTTAAAAAAAGTGTTTCCTTCCCTTTAATTCCAAGCTGGCCACTGGGTTCTGATATATATTTACATTTAGACAAAACTATCACCCCTAACTCCTTACATATTAGACATGTAGAGACACAAATTACCTCCTTTTGGGGCCTCAGTTTCTCCTTCTGTAAAACGGAAGGTTGGAGTAGATCACACATCAGTTCTGAGCACCAAGAGTCAGCTGTTTGCATTGCCTTTCCAAATCCCTAACCTCTGCTTTCTGGATACTGTTTGTTTTAGTTTCAGCTGCAATAATTCTTAGCAGCAGCCTGGGTCTCTAGCAAGATCTCCATCAATGCAATAGGTATTGGCTGTATTGACTCCTGTTTCCTATTTTGCTGTCTCAGCTAAATCTCCACTATTTGCAACCAGGCATTTCCTTCTTGTCAGATGCAAAGCCTCTGACAGCCAGAGCTGAGGGTAATTAACCTCTTCCCTGGGTGAGTCCTTTCTTCAACTCTGCTTCTGCACACCCAGAGCAGCAAGGCCATCAAATAACAGTTCTCCAGGGATACATGTAACCGGGCTGACTGTGAACTCCCACACTCCCTATCCCTATAACTTTAGTACCTTCCTTGCTCACTACTGCATCTCAGCACCTCCTGCATTGCCTGGTGCAGAGTAGGGATTCAGTAAATAAATGCTAAATAGATAAAGGGATATATTTCACAATAGTAATGCCTATGCCAATGGAACAGGGCAATAATTTTTACTTGCCTGTTCCCCCACTAAGCTGGGAATTTCTTGATGGCAAAAACATTTTCTTAATCATCCTGTATTCTAATAATTAGTATAGTGCATGATAAAGGGTTGGCAAGTCATTTACTGAATGAATGAATGAATGAATGAATGAATTAGCGAATTCATACATATATCATGATTATCATGAATTTAGGCTGAGTTCATTTAGAATAATGATGACTCTGCTGAGGACTGGAAGAAACTTTCTACATCCAAGATAGGTATTTGCCAAGGAAACAAAGAGTGCAAACACAAGTGCTGATGAAAGGTCCAAAATAGAATTTTATTTCACATCAGAGTAGAAAAGACCCTTCAAGACCAGCTAGTTCAAACTTTCCCAGTTTCATTATTCAGAAGAAGAAACTCAAGCTAAGAGAGTAAAGGAGTTTGTCCAAATTACTGGCCTAGCCTCTGGGCCAGCCGGGATGAAAACCCAGGGCTCTTGGCCGCCACTTCAGTGTCCTTTTGCTGCATTGGTGGTATCAATAGTTCAATGCATTCTGAAGCCTTTTGTAGCAATTATGTTGTACAAAAGGTTTTTTTGATATTACCAAGTTTTCTAAAAATGAGAGCATTTACAAACGGGTATTATTTAAACAGTAAAATGAATTTGAAATGCCCGTAAGTGCATTAAAGACATACATTTATGTGTTGTTAATAATGGAGACCTAAAAAAAGAA